ATTGATATGCACCGCCGGGAGGTAGGGCAGCGCGAGAAAGGCGAGGAAGCTCGCGGTCACGGGTCCAGGACGCCTGATCTCGCGAGCGAGGCCGACGGCGGGCGAGCTGGCGTGTTTGACAATGCTTTGGGCGTAATGGAAGAGGCATCCGAGTATGCGAACGCCGGGGAACTCAGCTTCAGCCGCGCCTCGCATCGCTTGATCGAAGTCGCCCATGAACACCGTGACCGCGAGTTCAGGGAGCTCTCGTCTCAATGCTTGCAAAACTTCGGCATACGCCGCGCCGCTGGAGCGGTGCATGAATGCCACGGCTACCAGTCCGACCTTGAAGGAAGAAGGAAGTCTACTGAAGAGAATTCTTTCACCAAGAGTTTCGATGTGAGTCTCGATTCCACATGCACACGTTCAGCCGATTGAGAGGGTTCAAATGTGCAATCGGTGGTCGTCATTGACGGTTACATGATTTTGCCTCCGACACATGTAGACGTCGATGTAGGATGCATCCTGACCTATATCCGTGAGCTCTGAATCGAGATGTCCTCTTGAATTGAAACTATATCCATTAGTCTTCCTCGATATAGTCTTTCTTGCATGTTCCTCTTAGGAGTTCAAGGACTCACAAATCCATCCCAATTGCCGTGTATTGTGAAGAGCTGCCGACACAGGCCACGGCGGACGATTTTATACGTGGCGTCGGCCTGGAGGACCGTAGAGAGCGTCAAAGTCTCGAGCTGTCGTCTTGTGGTAATCAGAACACTGCCGAACCGGACGCTGATCATCCGCTCCCCGTCTATGGTCCGCGTATAGCCTTCGAGGTCCTGGGAATTGATGGCTCTGTGGAGATCCTGCAATGTCTGCACGGGCGGTGGCCTACTTGACGCGGCCACCCGCCGCGCGGTGCGGAGGTGTCGCACAGGGACTACCTCGGCTGCAGCCTCCTGCGTCAATCTTGGTGAGATATTATCGGAGTTAGACATTGACTTTGAAACACCTAATCCAGTAACTGGGGATTCCGGCTCCTTGATAGTCGGACAGTACCTGCGACGATGGCCAATGATGGTCTTCATAGGCTTGTTCTGCGGATTGTCCTTTAGAGTTTGTAGCCAATTAGCCCTTGCCGAAAAGACATCCGAGGCTTTTCCGCCGAATTCTGGCCGATGATTGTGAATTTCCCCATTCATCCGAATGACCTCACCCGTGGGTTTGATTTTGCCCCTTGCAGGACATCGGTCCCTGGAATGGAAGCGTTCGTGGATTTTTCCTGGAAGCCATCAGAGATCGATGACTGAGGTACCATTAGCACGGGTGCTTCACAATTGAGTGCTTCGCGGCTAGCCTGTCGTTCGCTCGCTTGCGAATTGCGCATCGCACATCGCACATTTTTTGTGGTGAATTCACAAGTTCAAGAAATGAATCAACCCACAGCCGTGTTTGTGAAACTGGAAAAGAATTTCATGAACTCACAGTCGCCACTTTTTACACCGGACGATGAGGTCCCCAGTAGTAGTGACGCTCTCTTTGTGAAACAAAAAATCACCGACTCCTTGTTCTTGCTCTGTTTGATACCGCCCTCGAGATGAACACCAAATGGTTCTCGTGTGCGAGGTTCCATGGATCTGGAACAGGATTTCGGGCTCGGGCTGGTCCATTTTTCAGGAAATGCACTTGAGCTGCCTTATGGCTTAAAGGCTTGACTTCGTCTTTTTTTGTCATCAAATAGGTAGCGGGAGAGGCTATGGAGATTACTTACTGAGAGTCGAACATTCGATGAACTGGGGGGCAACATGATTGCGATTACCTAATCCGACGCTCCTACCTTGATATTCCGTTTCGGACGTCTCTCCCCAAACTCGAGCGTACGCTCCACAATGGGGTAATAGAAAATTTCTCCAGAGCCCATGGGAAGTGGTATGAGCACGGCTAAGAATTGCCTGACCTGTGAAGAGTCCCGCACCGGGGTTGGGTCGAGTTATGCTTCATGTGTCTGGCCATGTGTCATGTGTCGATCGATGACGTCCCTCACCGACGTTGGTCGAGTCTGAAATCTCTATGCGTCATCTGGTGTGGGAATGAGAGCATCTTCGATGGTCAATGGTCACCCCTCTCAGGGAAAATCCAAACTCAATGCTATTCTGGCGCTCTACCGACTAGAGTTTCCGCGAAATACAAGTTTCGAAGGTTGAGACCGGAGATACATCGGAAGACTGAAGTGAACGTTCCTGCTCGCTTAGAAGAGCTCAGAAGACGCTTAGAGCTTAGAACGTTCCTGCTCCGCTGCCTCCCATGACTAAGGACCCGACATCAGATTGAAGTCGCTCCCACCGCCTTCGACGCTGGGAAGCGTCGACAGTCAAGCGGGAAGATGCAGACCTACATTGACCGCCCACCTCCGTGCTGACTTCGATCCCATGAGCAACATCGATTCCACCAGCCTTCCCCCAGCAGGCTCTGGTTCCGACGACCGGTGACATACAAGTTTCGTTGGATCTCGGAAGCTTCAATCGAGCGGAATTAACGAAGCAACGTGGATAGAGATAGCGGGGATATCTCACTTTATTTCGTATCATATACAATGATATAATGATAATAATCATGGCTTGGAACATCATTGTGTCTCCTCAATCCAGCCTATAAGCCGCAATCGTCGCTCCGAAGCCGGGTGTCGTTGCGTTGAGTTCTCGGCGGACCTTCTTCTAGGTCTCTCGTGATGACCCTCCCGAAAAAGCATCGAAAGGCCTCATCAGAAGGGACGGAGAATGAGGTGTCACGACCGGGTCCAGCGACGGCTTGACTCGTCCAAGGATGCCGACAGCTCTACCGAGTCTGAAGTCCTCCACCTAGTCGTTTTCTCGAGCCGCGTCTCTACCCCTTGAGAGCTGAGAACGGGCCGTGTTTTCTATATCGATTTCCCGGACTTTCAGACGGAGACCTCTCGCTAGAACTGAGTCATGAGGATATTGACGTCGCATTCGATCGCTCGGAGCTTTCCGAATACTCGTTCATCTTTCTGGTCTCTTCGATAACCAAACAGCCACATTGATCTCGCTCATTTGGCGATGGGACGCTCGCGTTCATGTAACCAGGAATCGTCCCAGCTCAACTCCCTTCTGCGACCAATTCAGAGCTCACACAGACTTGGAGATCGTCACACCCGTGGCAGTGTGAAGCTCTTACTTAGATTCTGTGCAGAATTATGAGAAAACGATGAGAGCGCGCGGGAGCCCGATCATCATCTTGCATTACGGGATTGTTCGCCGGACGGATCAGCTGATGTGCATTCGATACATTTCAGTTCCCTCGGTTGTTCCCCGGAGGTTGTCAGGAGTCACGATTGATGACCACACTGTGATCTTCCAGAGGAAAACCGGGAACGTTCGAGGTCTCTCATCGGAACAAGTTCTCCAAAAGCTTGATTGCCATCCTGTCTGAACCTGATGAGAGTGCTAGTACGGTACCGATAGCCGATGATTTTTCCCAGAATCGAAGATCCGAATCGCGGCAACGAATGCCGAACGGGCGCTCCTCTCGGGAAAAACCCAGCATATGAGCAAAATGTTCGCCTCGTAGAATTCTCCGTCTCAGGAATCGCGAACACCGCTACAAATTCATTCTATGCGCTGCTTCGGCGGGCTTCTCTGACCGGTGGCATTGTTCCACCGGGCATCCGTCCTGCACCTGGAAACGCTGGCGATTCTATGCATCGCATCCATGAAACTGCTCCGTAAGACACGCATAATTCGAAGGAGCTCCGATGGAGTGTCTGCGATAGATTCACAGCGATAAATTCAGTCGGCGTGAAGATTCATTGGCGCCGTGAGGCGGTGCTACTGTCGGCGCCGTCTGCCGATATCCGGGTGTCGGTAGGTACCATCTCCGGCAGCCGTGTATGTGATTTCTGAGTGAGACTGGAGTTCGAACTCCATCCAGGAGCGCTGGCGGAACTGGGTGCGATCCTTTCTCTTTCAGATCGACCGCTCGAGCTCTCGGCTTGCAAGACATATGTTCTGTCAGAATAATAATATCTATCCGTCGGACGGCTCCTCGGAAGCCGAACTACGCTCTTCGGTCTGGACAGCGACCGTTCCTTGTCAATACGGTAGCGCAAGAATGAGACTTTTGCAGTACTGACGGTTTAATGGCGACAAGTTCAAATGTCGATTTTTAAGATGTCAGCCACCAGACTCTCCTATCTGCGGAGTTGGCACTCCGCTCCCTTACACGTCACGCTTTTGAATTTCGGTCTGAGCCATCGATAGCGCGTCGATTGCCTTCTGTGCAATGCTCCGGGGGATTGCCGATATCCCCGTCCTAAGAGACTTCGGTCTCTGATCGGGGCCAATCGCGACGTTGTTCCTTTTCGAAGAGTCTTTCGCTGTGCTCGAGCATACTCTGCTAAAACTAGGTCAGCGTTGACCTAGTTTTTTCCGCGACAGAAAACTCTGAAATCGGAAGCGAGCTTGGACAAGTCGCGGGACTTTGCTGCCCTCCGCGTATATTTTTAGAAATTCTGATTATCAGTCGAGGTCGGGATGTGTCTATGCCTCTTGGTGCCCTGTCACGCGTCATTTCAGAGTCGCCTCAGAGAGCCCGTGTCATAGAAGATCACATTTTGAGGAGGGATTCCAGCCCCACCGGCGCTCCTCGACGATTGGCTTACTTTGTTTTGAAACGATTTCCTCCCGATAGGTTCCTGAAGGCTCTACAACAAGATGGCGAAGTACATGGTCGTGGGGGAGATCTCCACAATGAGTGCCGCACTCCGACGAGCCATGCGGTACTCACATCAGAACGAACATCTCGAAGAGTTAATCAGAAGTTTCTCCTCGCTAAAAGTGAGTTCGTCTGACCATCCTTCATGATCGAAGAATTTTCTGGCTTTCTCGAAACGTTCTCCATCGGTATGACCCCACGTACTATACTTTTTTCTCTCCAGGATATCCTTAGTCGTCAAAGCGATCTTTCGGATCTGGAACCTTCGATATATTTCTCGCCGTTCCTCGACGTTGTTCGTTCCGGAGATACCAACGGAACCATAACCGCCATGGCTCTCACGGCTGTAACGAAATTCCTACAATACGGCCTCATCGATCACAAGTGAGTTAAAAGCTTTGAGATATGCGGTATTTCCTGGCGGAATCCGTTCGGGTCGAAGTTGACTGAGAGTGTATTTGTTTTCGTATCTCAGTTTGGAATCAGCCGCCGCGACAGCCGAACAGATCGTCCATGCGATGAAGAAGATCAGCTACATCACGGAGGATGCTGCGTCCGACAAGATCGTTCTCATGAAATTTCTGCGAGCGATCCGAAGTCTGCTGCTGAGCCAAGTCGGCTGCCTCCTCAGCAACAGCGGCGCCTGTGAGCTCATTCAGGCCATCATCAAGATCATATTCGATCCTGGCTTCGGAGTTTCGTTGAAAGAAATGGCCGAACAAACTTGGGAAGAAGTTGTACAGCTGATGTTCGCCAGACTTCCGCAGTTCTCCGAAGACGTCGAAGACCTGCAGCTCAAACAATTGCGCATAAAAGGCACCATTGACTTACGTACTCAACGTCGCCGTAGCGCTCATACGAAGCATAAGCATACGAAGTCGAAAGAAGCCGACGATTTGCCTTTCAACATTGGAGAGGCTCGCGAAGCTGCCAAGAGTGTGACGAACCCCATCACCGTGCCTCAGGAGATTCCGCAAGTACAGAACGTCACGGAGAACGTCCAGCCACCTGAAACCGTCGTAGAGGAGCCGGAGACGCTGGGGAAACAAATCGGAGCAGATTCCACGTCTGCGGAGCCCAAACCCGACGAGTCGAGCTTGAGCGATAGCGTCGAGGTGCTATCCGGAGACCAAAACATCCAAGAATGTCACGTAATGAACTTGGGTGGGAGCGTGAATTCCCTTGACGAAGTTGGTCAGAGCGAAGAAATCGTGAACGATGGCAGTGCGGTGAGTAATTTGTCCAGGCCCCCGCAGATTCAGGTGCCTAAGGCTCAAACGGTTCGGGGGTTAAATTACGGAGGCGTTTTCCTTTCCAGGACTCGACAGCCGCGGAAAAAGACTTCGTTAGTACGAGAGGCGTCCGCTTCACACCTTCGGCAATAGATCGAGTTCCGTATGGCTTATCATCCGTCAAGGAGCTCCTCAAATTCATTTCCGTTATGATCTGCCCACACGAACCATACAAGAATTCGGAACAGATCATCTCGCTCGGTCTCGAATTATTGACCATTGCTCTAGAAGTCGGTGGAAAACATATCGGAAACTTTCCATCATTGGTGGATCTCGTGAAGGACGATGTCTGCAAGAGTCTCCTGGCCGTAAGTCTCCTGACTTGAGCTCGGAGGAGCCCGCATTGACCGCGAACAGAATGCGATGTCTCCAAGTTCTGTTTTGTATGATTCTAATCTCGAGTCCTTTGCAGTTGTTGAAGAACGGACGCATTTCGATATTGGTTTCCACGATGCGAGCCTGCTTCCTGATGTTTGAATGTCTCCGTCCACATCTGAAGTTTCAGCTGGAGAGCTATCTCCTGAAACTCATCGAGCTCATAACCCACGAGGGACCGAACAAGGTTGCTTGCCTCGCGTGACATTTCGTCGAATTTTCCTCAGCTCGGCCATGATGCTTGCCTTCACAGTAATTATTTTCGTGATACGAATCAATTTTCCCTCGCACAGATAAGTTACGAAATGAAGGAATCGGTAATAGACAACATCGTTTCATTGTGGAGGATCCCGGATTTCGTAACGGAATTATACCTCAACTATGATTGTGATCTGTACTGCTCGAATCTGTTCGAGGATTTGACGAAAACACTGTCGAAAACTGCCTTCCCTGTCACGGCGATCTACAGTAAGCTCTTGTTCCGAACGATCGTTGCGTCTTTGATCTCACACCACGGTCAACATTACTCGGATGATGAATTTCAACTTAAAATCAAAGCGTCTTCCAGGTATCCATCATCTGTCCTTGGAGGCCCTTCTAGCAGTTATCGATTCAGTCGAGACCCACTGCCACTTCATGATGGTGTCGTCCAAGGAAGACAAGGCTACTTCGGAAAAACCGGCGGCAACGAAGGGGAAGCTCCTGCGACCCGTAGCAGTGTCTGGAACGCAGCTGGCTGCCGTCGTGAACAGCTGTCAAGGGAATGATACATCCGAGGAGACCT